AAACAAACCAATCACATCTTTAACAAACTCCTCCCACTAAACTCAAACAAACCAATCACGTCTATAACAAACTTCTCCCACTAAAGTCAAACAAACCACATCTTTAACAAACTCCTCCCACAAAAGTCAAATTGACCAATTATGTCTTTAACAAACTCCTCCCACAACTGTCAAAAAGCCCAATCATGACAGACTCCTCCCACTGATGTCAAAAAGACCAATCATGTCTTTGACAAACTCCTCCTACACGTGAAGAACCTCCTTCTTAGTGACTGCAGAGACCCCCTTCTTCACTGCCCTGCAAAGATTTTAAGCAAAACTTCTCTGTTAGCGCTCCGAACGTATGATGGGGATGTTTTTCAGGTTCACACCAAATTTTAGCTGAATATCTAAAACTGAATATTATAGCCATTTTGCTCATTCAATGAGTTGTGGTGGCCATGTGGTTGTCTTCAAAAGGTACTCAGTTCTACAGTATATGATTCATGAATTATCGTGCTTAGGTCATGAAGGTGGTCAAACTACCTGTTAGTTCATCATTCTGATCAAAATTCAACATTATTTTTGTAATTCAAAGTTTTCAAAGAGCCATCTACAACAGGTAAGATATTAATTAATCATGACATGTCCATAAAGCCCCACTTCAAATTATCTGAACTATTAGTCTCAGTAAATGTTTTTTTTGACAACAAAAGCAGTTTTGTTTTTGTCCAAATCAGGCATTTATAATTTCATCAGTGTAAAGTTTACTTAATTTTTAGGTCATTTGCCTCACACGAAATCACTTTCGTGCTTCTGCTTCAGCTCAATCTTACAAATTAGCGGCTGAAAAAAAAATGCCAAGAGGGAGCATTTAAGTCATTGTGACCAGAGAGACTGTATTCATGAGAGTGGCAGGCTGGTCGTGCCTGAATGCGTCCGCCACTTTTAATTTCTGCATTAGTCATCATCACTACAGTTACAATCGCAGATGAATCTCTCAGGTTCTTTTTTAAAAAAGAGTGTTGGAAGTGATGGGTGTAATTCAGTTCATTAGGAGCAGAGATTCCAGTGAGGACACAGAGGCCGAGGAAGAGGAGGTGGATGTTAGCAGAGGTAAGGTGACGGCAGATAATCCAGTTATTACAAAAACACACCCTTCATCCCCAGTTTGAACTTTTTGAACCTTTTTCTTCTTTTCCTGCAGGTCAAAATGACCTCTTCTTCACAGGAAATGATAAACACTTTTTCCCTCCTCGTCTGCGCGACAAGCCTGAGCTGAGAGCGGCAGGTTCACTTTATTTAGCAGCTGAACTGATTTTGGTCGTTTTGACATTCGGTTTTGGGAAATGGACTTTAAATAGACGTTTAGTGGTGGTGGTAGTTGGGG